TCACAGAGATCCAGAACAATGATCGTTGCCGGCACAGCCAGAGGTACCTGAACGTTTGCAACGGCTGGGTGAAGCCATGGGCAGTTCGGGCTACGAGTGGTCACTCTGCGCACTCAGATCCCCAGAACAATTTGCTTCAGTTGGACAAGAACAGGTTCGCAATATCTCCATCTATGACCCTCTTGCAACGTCTTGGAGGCGCGTTCCACGCTACGGCATGCCGCAACTTGGATTCCATTGTCACGCAAGGCATCATGCCTGGTTCGGAGGACCCCGACGGGGACTTCGACCATAGGCGCCAATTTCGAGGCAACCAAGGCGGCAGACTCCACAGCTATTGGGGGGTATTCGCACCGTTCGATCACCGGAATGCGACGACCAAGATGCGGGTACATGGACCACAAGCCAAGCACATGCCGCTGGCGGTCCTCCATGTCCCATCGCAGGACCTTGCACGAGAAGATGGACGTATCACAGACAGCGGCATCATGATCGTTGGCCGAACGATACCGTTCCAGTTCGTCAAGGAGGTATGGTTTTGCGTCCCGAATCCTCAAGATACACACTCTTTCGCTCTGGTGGAAAAGATCTACGATGAACGGTTGGAGAAAGAGATGGTGTTGGACTACAATGCATCACCTTTGCTCCCTGAGTTCGAGAGATACCGAACACCAAGCAAGATCATGGAATTGCTTTGCGAGATGCCTCCTGGACCCCACGACACCAGCAAGGAGCAGATCATTCGAGACCTTACGACTGTCCTGGAGTCCCACAGGGAGAACACGGTTCGGCATCACTACATGGACAAAGGGATCAAGTTTGTCATCAAGAATTGGCGACCCGAAGACCTACGCAGAGACGAGGATGGAAGGAGAATGAGGGTGTGCCCGGCATGCTACAACATCGTTCCAGCATGCTTCTCCCGATGCACGTCCTGCTGGTCACAATTCGTTTCTTGCGGATACTACCAAGGTTCTCCACAACGGGAGACTCCTACGGAGATCCCCAGTGACTTCATTGCTCAGACAATGGAAGCTGCGGCAGCAGCAGTGCCTGAGGCGACCGTCGAGGAGCAGGAAGCCATGGAGATAGAGACCGTTGCGGAACCTGAGGAAATCCCAGAACCATCTGTCATCGCGGAGGACGATCCAGAATAGGAACCTGATGAAGAAATTGACACAGAGCCAGGAGAGGACTTTGATGACGCAGTACCAGATGCAGTCGCACAGGAACGACGTCCCGTCCTCATCGCCGGCCAGTCTTTGAACATCGATCCTGAACTACAACTCGCACGTACCGCCATGCAGCCATCCTACTACTCAGGAAAGCGAAATGCCCATTGCAACGACGCCAACATGGCCGCTCTTTCGTATATGGCATTCGTGGTATGCAGAACCATCTACAAGGCTTGGTCAGGATTCGCGAAGTGGGCGACTATGCCGTTGTTCCAGATGAAGGAGAATTTCGCACTTGGCCAACGCTATGATGTGCTCGGAAAATGGGGATCTTTGGCTGTAGTGGACAGAGAGACGGGTGTGAGCAGGGATGTGACTGACGAGGAGATCATTCGCTTTGCCAAGGAGCCTGAGAACCTCAAGCAGTACGATCCCAACGGGACTTACACTTTGAAGCGCTTCCGGACGAATCAGATGCTTTCGTTGCTTACACGGGGAGCCAACATGATGGGAATTGGCAGGGACAACTTCAACCCTACTACGTACTTGAAGAGCAACAGGGATGAAGATGTGAAGGCTATGCACTTTTGTTGCCTGAACGTCCTGTGCGAGGTGATTCCGATGGTGACAGGACACCAACAATTCTCAGTGCTACGACCAACGCCAACTGGACCGGTGGACTTCTTGTACATCGACCCCGTCGGTATCCTGCTGACTCATGCCGATCATTCAGTCCAGACCATTGGATTGCTGGTGGACCACAATGTGCAAATGCCTGCGCATTTCATGGACAGATTGGTCAGATCCAAGGCTGAGAGACAGCAAAATCCGACGACCAAACGTACTGAAGCCCTACATCACATCTCGGCCGCTGACTATCTCCCTCCAGGTGGTACTTCCATCCTGGACACGCCTGTCACTACGGAGGAACGTGCAAGCGCTTCTTCGGCCAAGGGACCTTCAAAAGGGCGTGAGAGAACCGGAGGTGAGCAGCATGGAGGTTGGAACTCCAATTCCTACTACGACTACACCGCCGGCAAAGGCCGAAACAAAGGCAAGGACAAAGGAAAGCAAAGGGAACAGTATCCAGAGGAAAACCTCCGGCCCTGGGACCGCGATCCTGCGACCACGCGAAGATGGAGATGAATCAACGCTTGGTCTTCCTCGCCTTTCAGTTCGTGACCTCTGAGCTTCGCCCATGGAATGCCATCGCGAATGCTTCTTTCTTCGGTGACGCCTGATTCGTTTGCCATTTCAGGGGATCGTTACTGACGTAGATGAGTGTCACAACGTTTCTAATTGGGATGCAAAGCTCTGATTTTCAATGTCAACGTTGCGGCGGAACATTTTCTGTTGTCCTATCGTGCCATCTTCCGGGTGAGCAGCGTCGGAGACGCAACTCATGGGGGGTGCGAACGGACTGCGATGCCTTGTCAAGTTCCAAGGTGTCACTATAAGAGCTGTGAGCAAGACCATGTAAAGTGCAAGGGAAGGGGGCACGCTACGCGTCCCTCGACCCTAAGGGGGCACGCTACGCGTCCCTCGACTCTAGGAGTAAGCTTGTGGACGTGCTGCGCACACCGCATCGCTTCTCCTTACCTTTCTATGTGACCGCCCACGCAACGTTTGGCTCAAGTCAATGCCCATAGCTAAGTGCTATATGTGTCTTCTATCCTGAGCAATCAGAGCTATCCCGTGCACAGACGAACCGCCGCCGGCAGCGAGTGCAAAAGGAACGGCCGCCGGTTCTGCCTGCATAGGATCGCACGTGTGGAAGTGTGAGAGAGACAGGGTCCAGTCTGTGGAGAGTGCAAGCCAGCCACACCTACATTCATTACAGCTCTGGTGGGGAGAGCAGCAACACAATTGAGATCAAATCCCCACGCACCCCCAGTATATCTTTCATAAACCCTGTAGAATACCGTATCGAAAACCTATGAGGATTTATATAAGGACAACCAGGAGGAGCATAAGATCTCGCCCTCACCATCTACACTGTAGCTTATTGAGTAGAGGTTTTCTGTAGGAAGTCAGGAACTCAGGCGAATACCCTATAGAATGCTTTACAGAACACACCCTTATATGCCTTAATGAATTTCATAAAGACTATCCTGCAGAATATGCTGTAGAATCCTCCCTAGATACCTCATACACATATATATATATATATATATAAACGCACACTTGATTGAATATGCTACCCGCTATCGCCTAAGAATACCTATCATACCAGTATATATATATATACACATATCATAGCCTAAAGAATACCTAAAGAATACAATCCTAAGAAAATCCCTATAGAGTACCCGATAGAACGCGCACAGAACACTTTATAGAATGCAAAACGCATACCCCATACATACATATATATATATATATATATATATATATATATTGCCATGATATGATATTATTACCCTATCCGATACCCTTTCGAGTACCCTATGGGATACCTATAGAACGCCGTAAGGATAGAGCAGTCAAATAGTGAAAATCGAAAGGAGTCCAAGAGCTGAGAATTCCCCTAGTTGAACTGGAGCTTATTATTGGAGCTTATAATTGAGTAAGGGCTTTCTATGAAGGAAACCAGGAACCTGGAGGAATAGCATCATAATCATAAAGTACGATATAGAACACACCCTTTCTTTACAGACCCTGGAGAATTTCATATAGAATACACTGCAAAATACCTCATAAAAGACCCACCATATACCTCAGACATACCTTATTGAATACCCTATGGCGCCTGTAGAGTACCTTGTAAAATACGTTCTAGAATACCACCTACATGGAATACCGTGTAGAATACCTTGTACAATGCACCCTATATACCCCCGATGTACCTTACAGAATACCATCTGCAATACCCTACAGAATGCAGCTGGGGTCTATTGAGGTTCAATAGCCGATATTTAACCTCAATAGCCCCCCCCCGGAATCCAAGATCCAAGATGTCCCCAGAAAGTTTTTCAGACAATCTTGGATTCCGGGGGGGAGGGCTATTGAGGTTAAATATCGGCTATTGAACCTCAATAAACCCTAACCATGGAATCCAAGATTCCCCGAAAAACTTTCTAGGGGCATCTTGGATCTTGGATTCCGGGGGGGGGGGGGCTATTGAGGTTAAATATCGGCGATTGAACCTCAATAGCCCCCCCCCCGGAATCCAAGATCCAAGATGTCCCCAGAAAGTTTTTCAGACAATCTTGGATTCCGGGGGGGAGGGCTATTGAGGTTAAATATCGGCTATTGAACCTCAATAAACCCTAACCATGGAATCCAAGATTACCCGAAAAACTGTCTAGGGGCATCTTGGATCTTGGATTCCGGGGGGGGGCTATTGAGGTTAAATATCGGCGATTGAACCTCAATAGCCCCCCCCCCCCGGAATCCAAGATCCAAGATACCTCTAGAAAGTTTTTCGGGAAATCTTGAATTCCATGTCTATTGCAAGCTAACTATTATATGCTACCGAAGGGAACGCCGTGAGACTTCCGAAAACCATGCAACCGATACCGAAAACTACAAAACCATAGGTTCCCACAGCGTCCTCTTCTGAAACTCTACAGCGAAGCTTGAGCCCTCCTGGATCCTCGAGCCCGATACCAGAAAAGCAATAATACCCGAAACCTTAGTAGCGCTTTAATGTATCTAACCCCTACCCCTTAAAGCCCAAACATAATGTCAAAACTCGACGGACAGTGAAACTAACAAACTCCTAACTTAGAAGCCTGATAGTATAACCAAGGGGTTCCTTATGGACACTACAGTATGCCTCAAGACCGTATTCTGAACATGAAGGCTGCTTTTTTACTATGTGAGGAAGTCTGGCCAGTCTTTCGCCGCGCCCTTCGCCATCATCACCGTGCCCTCGGGCGTGCGGTCCTCACGTGTGGATTTTTTTGGGAAACTGCCGAAACGTATGGCTCAAGGTTTACCACGATAGTTTGAGGCTTCGGTTTCGGGAAAAGGGTTCAGGGCCGGATCAATATGAAGAATCCTGGGTTTGAGATTCAGGGAGCTACGTAATAAATTCGGGGCGGGGCGCGGGGAACCTTTTCCTGTAAGGATCCTGGTAGATAGTCGTAACCCCGTAGTCCCAAGAGGGATCGAAGCATTAAGTTTTGTCAAGCGGGTGCCTCTGCATTTGCATTCGGTGTGGGAGTCCGGTAGTCAGGGAGGAAGGGTTTCGTATTTAGGGTTGCTGAATGCTTGAGCCTCTGACATGTTCGCGGCTTTAATCAAGCTGCATCTTGCTTTGCTTGAATATTGGGGGGGGGTTCAGACAGTACGGCGGTAAGGCTTCAGGCCCTAGTAGTTCTGATGCACAGGACTCCTCAGCAGCCACCCGCATGGAGTCTTCAATAGGCAGGGCCCGCATTCCAGACCCAAGTATCCCCAAGTAGTACAACTAGGATCGCTGTCAAGGGATCTTTGAATCTCGGATTACTGTTTTTGAAATGAAAAATCGCCACCCGCATCCCTATAAAACTCTGGAAACGCAGGTCCTTGCCGAGCTCCATCCAGAGAGTTGCATCCACTTCAAACCTGCGCTGCCGGCAGACAAAGTTGCTGCCATCAAGAGGCTGCGATTTTACGGGGATTATACGAGGGATCCAATAATGCTTGTAGTAGGGACCTATAAGTGGGGTTCAAGGGTTTTGGGGTTCAGGGTGAGTCGCAATAGGCCTGGATGCAAAAAAGGGCTATCGTCCTACCTGATGAGTGATGAGTGGCACGGCAGACTTGAAGGTTTGCTCTAGGCGCTCATTTAGTTCCCAGCAGATGCTTTGCAGGCTGGATGCAAAAAGGGTTTGGGATAAGGGCTACTGAAACCCTAAACCCTACGCCCTAAACCACACAAGCCCTAACCGTTTCGTGTTTAGGAATCGGTTCAGGGTGAAGGGAGTTTTGACTTCATGGTTCAGGGAGGGCGGTTTCGGGCCAAGCGTTCGTGCTGGCGGAGTCGCAGCAGGCCAGTTGCACAAAGGTTTCGGGCCTTGGCTTCGAGTTCGGAACTCAGATACTTTCGGAACCTGAATACTATTTTGGGGGCTTCTTACTATAATTATAGAAACTAGTAGTAGTGTAAGGGGCCCCAAAACCTAGTGGAATTATGAAGGCCCCTATATTACTTGTGGTCGGTGCCAGGCTGTCAATGCCGAAGCGCGGAGCCACGACGCACGAGAAGGCCTGGCTTCGCAAGTCTGCAAGGGAGTCGGCACAACGAACGGTCTAGATTCGGGTTTGGGATTTAGGGTTTTTAGGGTTTAGGGCAGTAAAGCTGCCAGAGCTGCTTGTGTCTAACTCCGGGCGAAGTCGAAGCCTGTTGCAAAAAGGGTTTTTAGGGTTTAGGGGTTGGGGTTTAGGGTTTAGGGCAGATCTCCGACGCAGACCCTGACCCTGTGGACCCCTCGAATCCTACAGTCTAACGCATCCTAAGCCCACGTCTCACGCTTGCTGACAGGTGGTCCTCCGATGGCCCGTCTCGGAGCCGTTCGTGTCAGAGGCACGCGTAGCTTCCATGGATCATTCACGGTCCGGAATCCGCCATATAATCTGGTGTGTTTTCGATTCAGTGAGATTTGCCGACCCTAACCGCGGCTGATTTAAGGATTCACTGATCTGTCGTTTAAGAACCCTAGTCGTAGAGTATGTAACCTTGAACCTTTTTGGGGGTAGTATAGTCCGAATATAATCCCTATATAACCAAAAAGTTTAACGTTTAGTTCCCCATGATACCTGACAAGTAGGGAACAGTTTACGAGTGGTTGCTCAGAACATGGCAATTTGCACTCAGCTTTGGGAGGTCTTGGGTGCCCGCGGCGCCGCCAGCCAGCCGCAAGGAAGTTGGAGTCGAAGCTGTTCAGCTAAGATTCTACGAAGCTTACGGCTCAGGGTTTGAGAGCGTAGGGGTCTGCTGGTTGTTTGCGGATGGTGTTTGGAACGTTGACTTCATTGGCTGGCTTTGTTGTTTGCAGCCGTTACCATGATGTTCATTGGCTGTTCGCTATCTTTGCACATTCGCAGCAGCTTGTGATGACAAGATGCTTGTGTTGTTTTTGATTGCACAGTGAATGATGATGGTGAGTATGATGAAGCTGGAAATGACGATGCGCCTGCATGTCACTATGAGCAAGCTATGGTGCCGCCGTGCAGAGGACTGTGGTGAGTAGTGCGAAGATGTCGTCGGCGCTGCCCACCACGAAGACGATGGTGTTCTGGATGTTGCTGGTTGTTGTGGTTCTCAACGTTGACATTGTGACGCCCATGGTAAACACTATAATGCTGCTGACGGATTTTGTTGCGATTTCCTATGCTGAGTATTTCTAACCATAATGTGTTGGTTCGCGAAGATGTTCTGGCTTTTGTCAGGTGTTGCCGATGCTTCTGGTGAGGTTTGTTTGGAAACTTCCCCTTCATGGAACCTCTAGCTGCAGTTCCTGCAGTGCTTGTTTGTGAAGACACAACTGCCCCGAGGCTTTGCAGTTTGAGACGACCGACCAGAGGTTTCACTTCCTTAATCTGCACAAATATGGCCGGGAAGGCCCGCAGTCCATCGGTTTAGGGTCTAGGGTTTAGGGTTCAGGGGGCTGCTCGATCAACATGATTGGGGTCTTAAACTGTCTAGACTTCAGTCCAGTGGCAAAAAAGGGGGCTGCTTTGGTTTTTGGGGTTGCGTGGGTGAGTGAGTGAGTCAGGGACTATTGGAAGCCGGACGTGACGAGACTCATGTATTCACAGAGACTGCAAGACCTCTACGCACCTGTTCCGTAAGCAGGGCCAGCCAGAATCCCAACATCGCCAAAGCCGCCCCTGAATTTTTGGAATCTTCTCGGAGTCCAGCCACCCAGCCATCTATGTGTCCACTGCCAGAACCTACTTTTTCTTTTTAAATTAGACTTTCTCAGTACGAACAAGACAGCAGGGTTTTGGCAGTTTAAGGTACGTAGGTGCAAAGTCTCCCATTGCCAGATCTTCAAACTGCTACGGTTGCCTCGGGTGCCGGAGCCGACCTCCTGAGCGGAACCCTACGGCATAGCGCCCCAGGTGTCAGTATATAACATTCGCAATATACCTACAAACAGAATAACTGAATAGAATATAACGTAACATAGTGGAGTATCACCATGTAACAATAATTAGATCACATCACAGTTTTTTGTTGGCATATTACACACATTTCAGTCCTGAAGTTTTGTGGTACAGGCACCCTTTACTCCTTAGCTCTGAAGCCCGAAAGCTAAGCCAAGCCCCACGTCCTAAGGTGCTCGAAGCCTCCGAAACCCCCAATGCCGCAAGACCTATCCTTTGGTAACACGGACCCCTGAATTATGCTGTGTCAAATGAGATCAGATGAAAATTACTCGTGTATCTTGTTAAAACGCGTACTATACTGCATGTTACTATACTTCGTGGTCATACTGCATTACATTAGATCTTAGGGGTACTTAGACATAATCATTAATTTTTGGTCATTTTATTCCCTAAGAAACACTAAAATTGTAATTTTTGCTAGGGTTCTAAGTTCGGTATAGGATGATATTTTGGAGCTGTGCTCTATCACGTTTTGAGCCCGGCTCTTTACAAGAAAGCCCCTACTGCTTTTAACCCTTATTCCTGGTGGTTTAACCCTTATTTCTGGAAGGATTTAACCCTTATTTCTGGGGGGGGTGGCCCTTATTCCGGAAGCATTTAACCTTATTTCTGGTAGGATTTAACACTTATTTCTGGTAGGATTTAATGCTTATTTCTGGTAGGATTTAACCCTTATTGCTGGTGGGATTTAACCCTTATTCCTGGTACGGTATAATCGTTACTTGTGGTAGGATTTGATCTTCCTGTGGGATTGAGCCGGATGACCCCAGCTTGTGTTTGCATACATTGCGAGTCGAGTTGACAAGAGACAAATACGCATCCCGAAATCCAGACTTCAGGGCCAATATTTGAGCCTGGAGCGGGCTTTTGTGTCCCAGGATTTAACCCTTATTTTCCCCAGAATAAGCGTTAAATCCGGACCAAGAAATAAGCGTTAAATGCCCAGCCCTTATAGGGGATTGAAAGAATTTAGCGACTATTTTTTCATTGGGATTTAACGCTTATTTTGGGGCAAATAAGGGTTAAATATTTGGTAGAATCCGGGCCTGTCGCAGCCTCCAAGGGAGGGTCCACAATCCGCAGATTCCGCAACGCACCGCCACCATCACCAACAACAACAATCTCAACAACCACAACAATCACAACAACCGTAAGAAGGGTGAAATAGCAAGCAAAATATGGGAGAAATGCCGGCGAAAGACGGGTCAAATCGCCGGCAATAAGGGTTAAAGGCCCGGCAAAATAAGGGTTTAACGCCGGCAAAATAAGCGTTAAATGTCATGCAGAATAAGGGTTAAATATCGGCAAAATAAGCGTTCATGTCCGGCAGAATAAGGGTTAACTATCGGCAAAATAAGCGTTAAACGTCCCACAGAATAAGGGTTAAATATCGGCAAAATAAGTCTATATGATGTATTATAGACATATTGTATACATCACATTATACATCTAGCTACACTGTAGACATATATACATACATATGTATACATATACACATACGTCATGGACCCCAGCAGATGCAAAAAGACATGGAAGGCCAACTGCTTTGCCACATTTGGGGCGACTCGAACTGGGAGGCACCTGCAAAGTCATGGGAAGGTTTAGGCCAGGGCTTAGGACTTAGGGACGTTTCGGGTTTAGGCTTTTAGGGTTCAGGGACGTTTGGGGTTCTTTTTTGGGAGGACTGTTTGTGGGCTTTCAGGATGCATGAATCACACGTGTCGTAGCGAGTCTCAGGAAAACTTCGAGCCAGAGTGGTGGCGGGCTTATTCGGGGATGTTTCAGCCACCATTCAGTTTTTGACAATATGAGCTTTGGAGTGTTGAAAACGTGAAGGCACCTTTGCATGCTGCTTGGCGCGTCGGCCTGATGTCCTTTTCTGTGAGACCCGAAACCTTGAACCCTCATATTCTTTCTGCGAGGAGCATGCTGTGCTGAGCGACGAAGAGGTTGTCATGGAGGTGGTTCGTGGGTTGCCAGACGGCAAGATACGGGATCTACGATTTATTTATGATCTATAGGTTGACCAGCTAGCCCCAAACTCCATACATCACATCATACCTACAAGCCCCAGAAAAGACCCAACCCTGCAAGGGATACTATTAAGTCCCAATGAGCTATGAAATCTTAGCTTTTTCAACTGTCCAACCAAGACTCCCTGCAATGCGGGCTTCGTCCTTGCTAGCCAGGAGGGATAAAAAAGTCTTGAGTCCGTACCAAAGCCTCATGCACCATGTTGAGGGTTGAGGGTTTTGCCTATAGTCAATATTGTAGTTCCTTTTTTGAGGTTCACCAAAATCTCTATTATAGGATCCTAACCATACAAGTGGTTAACCAAATAAAGGAACTACAATGGAGACTCTAGGTGTAGTGCATCACCTTATGGAGTCACCCCAAAAGGACAAAATGCTAGCAGGGTATGCAAGAACGGAGCAGATTCGCGTTTACCGGGCTCAGGGGCTCTGTACTGGATTACTTTAGTAACTTTAGTATTGCTTTGGAATTCCAGGTCTATTGTCTCGAACGGAAATTTGAAAAATCTGACCTCCTACCAGATGGCTATGACTATGATTACTGCGATTGCCGCCATGCACGTGGGATCAAGTTGTTCCTGTAGCATTGTTGCTATATGTTTTTCATACAATATTAAGCCCCGCAGCACATTCTGAAGCCCTGAACCCGACACGACCGCCAGCAGTCCGCCAGGCTTATACCTGGAAAATCCTGCAAAGAGAGATTCGGAAACACGCTCTTCACTGCAGGCTCCGTGCGATGTTTCCAGCAAAGGCTGCATCAGACGACAGCGCTCCCGCACAGGAGAAAGCTGCCCGTGTCAAGTGTTGTTCAGTCAGGTGAAGGCTGTTTCATGTGACATTAATTAACGCATAGCATCAGTCTGCTGACATCCGGGAAATCGCCACGCTGTAGGCAAAGGCAAACCGGCCTCAACCACTGCTGTATCACCTCACCTCCAGGACGACGTGCCCTTCCCTCCGCTGTGGAAGGTAACCCGCTGGTCCCTGGATCCTTTTGCTCTCGGAGCCCAAAGGGGGACGGTTGCTTGGAGGATCATGGGACTTAGTAAGTAGGTTATAAGTGGGGTTATAAGTCCCCTAAGTGGGGTTATCTTAATTATAACCTACTTATAATATAACCTTACTTACTAAGTCCCATGAGCCTTTAAGTGAAGTTTGCGATATAATCCAGTCCTGTGCAATCCGCAACACGTATTCATGGCAGGCGGCACGCAGGCAGAGGGCTGTTGGGGGAAGAGGCTTTTCAGGTTGCCGGGAGGCGTCTGGAGCAGCCTCGCAGGGATTCACCATAGATGGAACATTCGTTTCGGAGCAAAGTCATGCAAGACCCGTTCATGTGGTTGTTTTACCGTGGTATGGTTTGCACCAGGAGGAGGAGGAGCAGTAGTGATAGTAGTACTACCGTTTCCTCTTCCCTAGCAGCCCTCGCAGCATCATCAGCTGGTAGCAACCAGAAGAATTTGGAAAGAAAGAAGAGTCACATTTGCAAATTTTCACTTTGAGATCTTGGGGCCTGGGATATGCAAGGCTTGTGTTGGTCTGGGTTTTGTGGCAAGTTTGAACAGCTTGCACGTGGTGGCCGCCACGAGCTTGGAGTGCTTGATGTTCTGAGTTGCACGTAAGTTTTTCAGACATGTAGCACCACCTTGAGTTTCACGGGGTAAGCCGTTGATCCAATATGTGGCTTGGCTCTACGCAAGCTCCGGCCAGCAATACCGTAGCGATGCTTCAGTAGCATTGCTTGCTATCCTATGGCATCGCCGGGGTTGGGGTACCACCGACATGTCTTGCACATAAGAGCACATCCCCACATCTCATCCTACGTTTTGCCAGACTCTACTACAACAGACTATATACTCTACTATACTACACCAGACTATACTTTACTGTATCTCGATTCCCGATTTCGGAGGAGCGTAAACCTCTCATACTAATACCATACTGTGCTAGACTAGACTGTATTGTACTACTTCCCTCAACACTAAACCGATTCAGAGCAAGGGAGAGGGACACCTCTCATACTCTACTATACTATACTGCACTAGACTTTCCTCTACTTCCCTAAACCCTATACCCATCCTAACTGGGTCGTCCTTTGGGATCTTTTGTTATAACTCCCCTACTATTTTGCAGACAACCACAATGATAAATGATTTTCAAAGGGCTTAAAGGGCAGCTCAGCACCCTAAACCCTATACCCTATAAACCCTAAACCCTAAACCCTATAAACCCTATAAACCCTAAACCCTAAGTGCGATTCGGAGGAGCCTACACCGAGTTCCAGGATCCCAGAGCTAGCGAGGACGACCGCGACATCTACGCGACGCCTTGCTTGCAGAAGTTCTCGTGAAATTTAATTAAGGGTTTAGTAGTAATAGTAGTAATAGTAGCAATAGTAATATTAGTATATAGTAATAGTAATAGTAATAATAATAGTAGTAGTTTAGTGTTAGGGGTTTAGGTTGAGGGTTGTAATCTGGCTGCGAAGTAGAGACGAATAGTCTCACTGGTCTCTCCCACGGCGTAACAAGGGGCTGGGTTCGTTGTGTAGTTCGGGTTTAGTCGTTTGCCGCTGAGGAGAGACTTGTGTTAGTGAAGACTCTTTCCACTCTTGTGCACTTGTTGCCGTCGTGTCTTGAGTCGTCACTTACAGCGTGTCTCGTCGAGTGAACCTGCTTGATGAGTGGTTGACGAAGCAGCCCGAACCTACTTCTGCAGACCTTGCCAGGCTTGTCCGAGTGTGAGTGTCAAAAATTCAGGGTTAAGGGATTCAGGGTTGAGGGTTATAACGGCTATATTCATATTACTTGGCCTCAAAATCCTGTGGACGAATTCCTGGCCGTCGGAATTCAAGGCCGACGCAAGATGTCATACAACAAGATCAACCCGACCATATGAATTCATAGACTATGAAACAACTAAACTAAAAGAGTCCCCGCGGAACAGCGCCACTCCGCTGACCATCTCACTCCGACTATAACTCCACCAACTCAATCTTACGGACTTTCTCAGGGCCCTTAGAGTACAGAGGTTGGTCAATCAGACTCTACTTTCTATTCCTAAGTTCTATGCATGTTGCTCAGGCTTTAAGCCTTAAGCAAAGCAAAGGGAAACCTGAACCTAAGCCTAAGTATAGACACTGAGCCGCAAAAAGCCCTAAACTCTATGCTCAGTGGACCCAGTGCCTGAAGCCATGCTTGCCTTGTGCGAGTTCGCGAGTCGAAACTCTACCACCTAAAGCCCGTCCCTCCGTCTTTCGCCTTAGTCTCAGGAGACCCGAAGGCCGCCTCTTATTTACCGGCGAAGGCCTGTGTGCACTTGGAGGGTTATGAAGGGTTTAAAGTTTAGGGTTTAGGGATGTTTCCCTGCTGTTGAGGAGTGTCCGCCGGCACACACACACACAATCCAAGCCCATGCTGAAAAAGGGATGTTGACAGTTTAGGGTTTAGGGAGGGCTTTCGGGTTCACAGGGTTGAGTGTTGAAGTCACCTTAGTTCGCGAGCTTGGTCGAGTGCCTGCGAAAGTGGGTAAACATGAACGGTTCCTTTTCACCACAGCTGCACAAAAGAAACGTTCAGGGTTTATATAGGAGGCCGTCAGATGTGAGGCTTTCGCGGTCGCGCCTGAGAGCTGACTCATCATGTTCGTGGCTTGGTGACCAGTACGCATGAAGAATTACGGCAGGTGCTGTTCCGGGCCATGTGGGCGCGCAGTGCACTCATGGAGCTGTTTTCGGAGGCAAGGGCGTTTCGCGAGCTTGGACTTTGAACCCTAAACCCAAAATTCTTGGACTTTGCTTCGGGATTTTTCAGCAGCTGGCCTAGTAAGACCTGGTACAGACTTTGCAAAAGGTCTATTGCGCAAGTCCCTATTGCACAAGTGCTGATGCAGAAAAAGCTTGAGGAAACCCTGAAGTTCAACGCTGAAAGGCATTAAAACTCAGCAGACCTCGAATCATATGCCTCGCCTAGGCTAGGAGTGTGCGAGCGCCAACAAGCACAAAAGCACCAAAAACCTTCAAGCCCAAAAAGGCCTAAAACCGCGAATCGCTGTGAGTGTCCCGTCAGGTGCCCCTGTCTTGATCCCTGAACCTCAAGGCCTATAAGCCAAAAATCAAACCTGCACCTTCAAGGTTGGTGTTACGTAGGTATGGTTGAGCGCTTGAAACTCCTCAACCCTACCCTAAGGCCCTAACCCTGCACTTCTGGCCTTCAACCCTGCTCTAGTGCAAGCCTTTCGCGAGGTGCCTCTGCTGCCATCGCACTCCTGAGCGAGGGTGTTGGCGCGGCGAAGCGTCAAGCACTGGAAGAGGCACGAAGCCGGAACAAGGATTTTGTTTTTCTTAGTTGAAAAAGGAAGTTGTTTCAGGTTAGGAAAAAGAAACTGAGCGACATCGGTACGCGGATGAATTGATATCGGTACACGGATGAACTCAGTTCACTTAGCCTCGCCGCTTCCACGCGTATGCACTGCAGAAGACGCCGAGAGGGGCCTGGCAAGATGACCAGCAACAGTTCGGTATACTAATTTGGGAGTTTCCGAAAATAGGGGACCCCAATATAGTACCCTTAATACTAAGATCTTACTATAAGGACCCCAAAATAAGGTACCCCTAATTTTCGGAAACCCCCATTTCGGCTTACGGAAAGAACTTTCTGGTTCTTTGCATAGTCTGAACAGTTACAAAGACGGTCGAACATTCAATACACAACTCAAACCCAAAACCCGTAAACCCTACACCCTAAACCTTAAGAGAGAGCCTTTTACCCCGTCCAGCCCTTACAAAACCTCTTATAAAGCTTGTGCAAACCGTACAAAAGCCCCTAAAGCCCCGGACCTGAAACCCTCAATCCCAAACTCCTTCATCCCAGTTCTTAAGCCTTACCTTAACCCTGAAGAACCTACCTTTTTCGGGTTCCTGATTATAATTTCCTTATATGAGTCCTTCAAAAGGTAGGATCTTCAGGGTTAAGGTAAACTCCTACACCCTGAACCCCAAATCCGAATCCCTGACCCCCAAGCCTCGCCTGTCCGAGTTGTGAGAGCATCGTCTCCTAAACCCCCGTGACAGCCGCCTCGTGAGTTACACACACTTGCTGGGCTGATAACAGACCTTGCCAGGCTTTGTCCAAGAGTGAGTGTCCAAAAAACCCCTGTGTAGTACCCCTTACAGCAACCCCTAGAGTAGCTCTTTGTAAACCCTTTGAGGGGGAACCTAGATCCCAGCTCTGTTTCCAAGCACAGTACTAAGTTCAGGCGCACTGAATCGCCTAAAAAGGCTTACCCTAAACCCTATACTCTATAGTCCCTCAACCCTAAACCCTAAATCCCGCTTCTCGGATCCTTGCGAGTCGAAAAAGGGCCGTTCAAAAAAAAAAAACCTAAATCCCTTAACAAGAACCCAGCTTGGCAAGGAGTCCCCTCGTCTCGGGGAGCTCCTTGGCTCTGGACCTATGGGCCTGGACGTGCCGGTACTCGTGGAGGCTCCGGCTGCTATGGGGTTTGGCGTCTCGAGTTTTAGGGTTTAGGGGTTCGAGGGTTTGAAGAAGCGGGGGAAATGGGGGCTGTTGCTGTAACCGGGCTGCTGGACAACGAGGCCTGCTGCAAAAAAGGGGTTCAGGGTTTAGGGGTGCAGGGGTTTCAGGGTTTGGGGGGAGTGAGAGGGTTTGGCAGTTGCAATGGACCTGGATGCAAAAGCGTTTGGGGTTTGCTGGCACACAATCCAAGCCCATGCTGAAAAAGGGGTTTAAGCTTCAATCAAAGCCCGTGCTGAAAAGGGGTTTGAGGTTTAGTCAAGGGACTTAGTATAATCAGTACGGTAGGGTATAATTGGGATTATGAGTCCGCGGAGTGGGTTATCTTACATAGTTAGAACCTTACTTATATTTGTAGATGCCTGTTTCCATTCCAAGATGCAAACACCGAATGTACATATGAACAAAAAGGAAGTTTAAACATAGTTAGAAGCAAATCGCAAATCCGTGTCTCTCTCTCTCTCTCTCTCTCTCTCTCCCTCCCTCCCTCCCTCCCTCCCTCCCTCTGTGTGCATGTATATGTGCATGCATATGTATATGTATATGTATATGCACATGTGTATGTGTATGTACATGTAAATGTATATGTACATGTACATCTACATCTCATTGTGCCTCTCTGTCACACTCTTGCTTGTCGCTTCTTTAGAACAGGTCCTGGCCACCGGTCGCTGCAAGGGCCGCAAGCGGCGTGAGCCGCCAGACTGACCCAGAGAGCCTAGCACCCCTTAATTACAGAATATGGCTTACAAACCCAATTGCCCAATCCTTAAGATCAATGTATAGGAAATCCCAGCACTATTTGGCCTCAATTAATCGGTTTCCAACTTTTTGGTGTCCACTGTAAATTATGACGGGGCTTGATAGTATAATCCTTAAATGGGTGTGGGGCTCTCTGGGAAGCGACCTCCGCGCGCGATCGTCAAAAAGGACGAAGCAGGGGTTCATCCCTCAAGCCCCTCCTGGTTTCCCCTCCCAAAAAAAACAAGCTTGATGGTCATCGTCAGGCTTATTTAGGGTTTCTGAGAGTTTTTCGGGTTTAGAACCTTTGCTCGGGAATCATGTGTAGCAGACTTCATGGGGTAAGGGGGATTACGCAGAAAGAAGTAAAGCTCGTACTTGTAGCGTTTTGGGAAGTAGTGACGGGTTTAGGCAGATAGAGCCTCTCATGTCTACAGAGTGGTTGGGGTTCATGTATAACAGCAGAAGCTCCGCGGACTAACCCCCGTCACCGTTCTCTCTATGGTCTAATTCCCACTATTCAAGACCATAAGCGCTCTGTCTGTATGTACGTATGTACGTATGTATGTACGGTTTACATTCATGTACAGACATGTATTGTACTTGTTTTATGCTGGTCTGACGTAGAGCACATGGGGCTGGCATTCATTAGCATAGCTACCATGATGTTTTTGTTGCTGGTCTTAACCGTTCGTGCTGTCCTGACCAGTGCATCGAGAAGTGCCGCTTCCTCACGCGGCCGGGGCGATCGCTCAGACAGGACAGATGGGAGAGGTGGGGGCCAAACACAGACAAATCAAAGCCCAACATATATGTATATATATATAGGTATGTTTATATATACATATATACACATGCATGCACTCACCCGTCCTTGATTTCTTGACTCCGATGTATTGGCGTTCTGGCTCGTCTAAATCTCGGATATTCCCGCCAACTGGATGATCAGCCATGCACTGGGCTACCCCCCGAAAGGATCATGAGTTGTACCAGCCTTCATTCATGCAATCATAAAAAATCAACCTGTGAACAGTTAATTGAACTCCTTGCCAAACACCCTATTCTGAAGGAAAGGAAGCTCAGATAGTTGTTTTAAACGACTCCGGAAACTCGAGCTGACAATGTTGAGAACGACACATTGCGATTCAACATCTCCCGGCCAATTCAAAAGTTTGCAAAGGCCTCGCCTTGTATTGACAGCCAGGTTAGCTTTGTATCAGGGGAAGTCGCAAGCAAATCCGCACTAGGAGACTGGGGCCATGCAACAGAAAGAACTGCTGAGCCATGCATGCCTGGCTTGTGGTAGTTTCGCCACGTGCCTGCTCATTCATTCTTTTACGTACCTTGCAATGATCTTGTCTGGTATTATCGTATAACATGGTATATGGTGTAGTATTGCGCAGCACAGACAAGGCATTGTGCTCGAGCAGTGGAAGTGCTGTTCCGATTGATGCCGTCTCTTAATCAAGCCTCAGCCAGGAGGCGGAGCTCATGAAAGAGTGCCTCGGCAAATGCTGTGCCCTGCACATTCCGTTTATTTCTCCATTTGCACCGAGATCCCAAGAGCAAAGTAGGCACTTCCCTACTAGCGATTCCCAGCTTGCCGGGGCCAGGTTTGCATGCCTTCAACTAGGTCGGGGATCCTTCGTGGCTCTCCAGGGTGCTTGTGGCCAAAGTCCGAAGCGTAGCGGCGACCAGAACTGCGTGCTGGCGCCCTGTGTTCAACCCCGGGCTACTAAATCGGCGCCAAAACTGTCACCCCTTCAATGCTGAACCCCAAACCATAAGCGCTAAATCACAAACCCTCGAACCCTTGCCCCTTCAGGCTGGACCACCCTGGCATCGTGAAGCTTCTGCGCCCAGCTTGAATTGCGCTGACTTGGGATGTTAACCAGGCTTTACCCATAGGCGCCATAGTAGTTCCTTTATGGGGTTCATATATAGAGTTCTATAAGGTAATCCGAAGAAGGAACTACTATGGGGCCTACGGGTAGGGTCCTTTCAGCCTTGACGGCTTAGAGGCTTAGAGGTTCAAGAGGTCAAAGACTTTAAGTTTGCACCATAACCCTAGGTTTGGGCTCCCAAATACCCCTATTAAGGGCCATACTCCATGGTTTAGGGACCCAAACCCAAGGGTACAAACCTAAGGGTACAAAGGAAAACTCCTTGAAGAGGACCTAAACCCTAAACCCTAAACCGCATAGTTGTTTCACTCGAACCTGCTGCTTTGTGGACAGCGGCTTCGGAGCCATCTGAGATCGCCCCGTAACAAGAGTACTTAGAGGATCATGGGACTTAGTATGTCGGTTATAATTGGGGTTATAAGTCCCCTAAGTGGGGTTATCCTAGTTATAACCTACTTATAACCTTACATACTAAGTCCCATGAGCCTTCAAGTATCCCTGGTACTTGCCACATAGCCGCCAATCTGAAGTCAAGAATTGCACCGGAGAAGGTGCCCGCAGAAACCATGATGACCCTTAGAGTTTGTTTACAGCCGTGCAGATGCGTATGTATGTGCGTATATATATATATACACACATAGACACATATACATCTTACATCTTTGCTGGGAATGTAAAGCGGCGTACCCAGCACTCCAAAATCCTTCCAGGGACTGCATGGAAGATGAGAGCCGGTTGTGCCTGGTGATGGACCCTCTTACGAGCATTGGGAGCGGTGTTAGACTACTTTAGTTTGGAACGTGTGTTATTGTGTAGGGTTTAAGGTTAGGCTCACCCTAGAAGGCTTCTACCGCAGAATTCGCAGACCCGTATGAGCTCTTGAACCCCAAGCTCTTGCGCAGAAGTCTAAGACCTTAAACCCCAAATGCCTAAACGCAGGTCAGGGCTTTCGGCCTCCGATTTCATTTATTCTTGATTTCCTTTTCTGGCGTGGGGATGTCGAGGGGTGGGGGGTGCGGGGGTGGGGGGAGTGAAACTTCAGGTTCACGATGGTTCCGTTCCTGCAGGTTCTGTCGTTCCTTTTTGTTCAGGGTATCTGCTTCAATACGAGGTTACGACGCCCTGCTTGAAGTGGCTGGCACTTCGCACATGGACACTGCGAGCGGGCTGAGGAAATCGCGAAAACACCCTCAACCTGGAACCGCCAACCGCTCTCAGGCATGTGGGATGTACTCTAAGCAGCAATGTACCAGCCCTAAGACTTTGGAGTAAAGTCCTCTCTCTAGAGGAACCCCAGTGTCTGGATAAAGTACTCCAGCCATGTAAGCTCTGTTGTGAAGCCATGCTGCTTGCTGCGAGTGCTTTTATTTTTTTTCCTTGGGTTCTTTTGTAGGGTTCAGGGATTCTGGTTTTGGCGGTAGAAGGTCTGGAAAACACATGGCCAACTGTCGGGCTGCGATGTTACCCCAGTAGCCCCAAACCCATACCCCTCGGCCGACTCCTGAAGTCTTGAGAGTTAAGGCCGTGGGCTTCTGAAAGGCTGTACGCAGGCAGCTGAGGAAACCCCGGACCTGTCAGAGACATTAGGACTTAGATAGCCAATGCGAGAACTTTCAAATTTGCAGGCCTTACAAAATTTGGTCTGCTGCAGGCTCCTAGAAAAAAGTTTGAACCTGGTTGGGCCCGGTTACTGAAGAATAGAAAGGAATACATCCCGGGCGGCGACATGTTTCACAACATCGCCCAGCAGGGGAGGCACCGCGTCAGCAATGCGTGTTGTGCAGATACAGACTTGTCCCGAAGAACCCTAAATCGTCATGACCCCCGGATCCAGCACTATCCACAGAACCCTAACCCCTAAACCCCTAGATCTTTTTTTTGAAACTGGGCTATCCCCTAAACCCTGAACCCGACTCTCTATGTTGAGGTCCCCCGAGAAAGCCTAAGCCCATGTGGCCCATGTACTCTTCTCAAGGAAGGCTCCGGTGGCACTTGTTGTCTAGCAAGGGGGCTTCTCTCCGACTCCTCCTCCTTTTCCGCTTTCAGCCTACATGGAGGTCCCATTTCCGAAAAATCCCACCTCTCCAAGTTGCAAGCTGGGTTTTGCAGGTCAGAAGCTTTTTCAACAGGCCGTTCCTTCAAACCCTAAACCCGATGACGTTGAGCCCCGCACCCACGTGGAAAAACAGCCCGAGAACAGTAACCACGAGGTCTGAAGCAGAGAGCTTTCTTGCAAATTGAAGGTTTTCATGAATTTCAACCAGGAGTACGAGTAGGACTGCTGTGGGAGTAGGAGTAGGGAAAAATTGGGGTGGGGTAGAAATACTATATAAATGTTGCATGAGTAGCGCGACTAGGCGGAGCAGTCGCCGTTGTCGTTTTCATCATCTCTCCACCCTGATTGCAGTAAACCCATCAAACCCTATAAACCCTAAACCGAACCCTAAACCCTAAAGCCACATTTGTTTTTGTTCTCTCTTCTCCTTGGAAGTAGAGAGCAAGTGTGTGTCCCTTACAGAGCAGCACCTGTTTGACCCTTCATCGTAGGTTCGCTCTAGAGGCAACGAAACCCTCAAACCAAAACAAATCTAATTCCTAAATTCCCAAAACCGAAACCCCAGATCCGAATCCCCAAAACCCCTAAACCCCAAAACCCTAAACCACGAAATCCCCAAAAGCGTAAATCCCCAAACCCCAGAAGCCTAAGCCATCAAATCCCTCAATCCCAAAACCCTAAACCACTAAATCCCCAAAATCCTACTAACTCCCTAAACCACTAAATCCCTAGAATCCTACTAACTCCCTAAACCATGAAATCCCTTTTGACCGTGTTTCCCGAGGTTTCCAGAGAACCAGGCCGCCAGGCTCTTGCGTCAGCTCGCTGATGCACTGTGGCTTGCCTGCCCTACAGTGTGGGTTTAGATTTTGGGGTTCAAGGTTTAGATCCTACATAGGGTTTTAGTGGGTTGAGGTTTCAGGTTTTACCGTAGCCCTGTAGGGTTCCTTTTTATGACCACCTCATATAAACCCTCAAAAAGGTAGGCTAATCCGGGTAAAGGTAGG